TACTCTTTGATAATATCTGTATTACCATTTCTTTCCTACTTAAACACTGTTAAAATTCTCTTATAATCATACCTAATTTTCCCTTTTCTCCCAAACTACAAATAACAAACTAGTGTATGTTCCTACTACACTACTGTGCAATACCTTGAACCTTCCCTCACTAGCTAGTTTCAACTACCTCAAATAATATTCCTACAGTGATATTAATTGCTCAAACTTTATGCTATAAGGCAGTTCCTACTCTCAGATTATTTTCATATCTTAGTGACTATATTGTGTGTGAAATTAGTGTATATTTCAATTACATTATTGTTCAAGGCCCAAAACTATCTTTTGCTGCTACTACCAACTACCTCATATTAGTTTTACTTTTATAGTACAATAAATTACTCAACTTATTATATATAACAAATCAGATCTTACTCCAAAATCAATATAATATCTTAGTTACTATCTGCCAGTTTAACTTTGTTTACCATTATTTAATTTAGTCCCTATATATTTTCTCCTTTATTTTTGCTTTATATAACAACCTTAGTTCATATATTCACAATTGTTAAAATAATCAAGGTGCTATTCTCAGGTGTTAAAGTGTAATAAGTTCACTATTTTGCCATTATATTACCTAACTCATTTATTTGATTACCACTTTATTTGTTCACCACAATTTTTTTTAGTCCCTTTTATATCGTCTCCTTTATTTTAGCTTTAAAGAGCTACCTTAGCTCAATTTTTTTACATTTGTTAAAATAACTCAGGTGCTATTTTATAGCTTTAGAATATTTACTTTGTCTTATACTTAATTCTAACTATAGATTCATTATAAATCTTATGATAACAAACATTGATCCTGATACCAACCTCTTATTGAATGACTTAAATGAATCAAACAGTAACTGTAATTACTACACAGCAGAACAATCAAAGGCACTTCTCAGAGCCAACAACAACATAACTATCTTTAACTACAATATCAGATCTTTAAGCAAACATTACGATGACCTCATAGCATTACTCAATTCCCTGCATGCCAGTATGTCCATCATTACTCTCACTGAAACCTGGCTAAAGCCTGATACTACAGATGTCTATGCCATTCCTGGTTACACAGCCATACACAACTGTAGGCCAGACCAACAAGGGGGTGGCACAGCTATATACTACTCAGACCAACTGGAATGTATCACTAATACTTGCACAAGGGATGAACATGGGGAATATGTAATAGCTAAATTCAAATGCAAATACCTACAAAAAACCTCTCACAGTGATAAACATCTACAGAGTTCCACAATCAAACATTAGCCGTTTTAGTGAAAACCTAGGAAGTATGGTAACTGATGCACGCATGAACAAAGATCACTTACTACTCTCAGGTGACTTCAATATAAATCTCCTGCAAGACCAAGACCCACACATTACTGAATTCACAAACACTGAGTAACTGCATGTTGCTACCAACAGTAACAAAACCTACAAGAGTTACAGAGACTAGTGTTTCCCTACATGACCACATCTGGACCAACACCATATCCCCTTTAAAATCAGGCATAATTACAGATAATACCACAGACCACTACCCAACCTTCCTCATAACTAATCTTGGCAAATTACCCCAAGACACTACTAAAGTCACCTTCAGACTTCACAATGAGGCAGCCATTAATAACTTCACAACAGCAGTAGCAAACATTGACTGGCACACTGAGCTAGAAATCTATCCAGATATTGACGAATGTATTAATAATTTTCTAAAAAAGACCCAATACCTTTATAACAAGCACTGCCCTAAGAAAACTAAACAGATGACAGCTAAGAGACTGAACAGTCCCTGGCTAACACCCAGCATCCTCAAATCCATAAATACAAAGCACCTATACGAATGGGTCACATAACCAGAGACCAAACAAAACGTTACTCGTCAATTCTAACCAGCCTGATAAGAAGGGAAAAAAATTGTATTATGAGAACAGATTATCCAACTTACGAGGTGATATAAAAAAAGACCTGGAAAACCCTATCAGAAATTCTGGGAACAAAAAAGATATCACGAAATAGCGAAATTTAATTAACAAAATGAGATGAACCCCAACTCCCACCAACTGAAACAGCAGACTCAATAATTTCTTCTCCACTATAGGAAGAAACCTTGCCAATAAAATCCCAAGCTCAGATACCCCACCCAATGACTACCTCACTGGCAACTACCCGAACACACTGTTCCTAGCTCCTACTAACCCAACTGAAGTCTCCCTTATTATCAACACACTAAAAAACAAGACAGGAGATTTAAATACCTTACCACCCTTTATATACAAAAAAGCGTCACAAGTACTATCACCAATCATTGCAACACTTTAACAAATCCATAGAACCCTCTACCTTCCCTACAGTTCTCAAAATAGCAAGGGTCACCCCGATCCATAAAGGAGGAGACCAAACAGACTTGAATAACTATAGGCCAATATTCAACTTACACCCTCTCTCTAAAATCTTCGAAAAATTAATTCATAAGCGAATCTATTCCTACCTCATCTCCCACAACATACTCAACCCCTGCCAATTTGGGTTCGGGCCTAATAAAAATACTAATGATGCTATTATACACATGCTAGAACACATATACACTGCAATAGAGAAAAAAGAAGTCCCACTGGGGATCTTCATAGACTTACGTAAAGCTTTTGATACAGTTGACCATGACTTGCTCCATATAAAATTGTCACACTATGGTATAAGAGGGCACTCCCTCAACTACCTAAAGTCATACCTCAGCAACAGAAGCCAATATGTGTACACAAATGGGGCAAACTCTTCAGCAGAGCCAATTACATGTTGTGTCCCACAGGGAAGTGTCCTAGTCCCTCTTCTCTTTCTCATATACATAAATGACCTACCAAATGCATCGCAATTACTCAAACCCACACTATTTGCAGATGACACTACATACGTCTTCTCTCACCCGAGCCCAGTCACGCTTGCCAATACTGTAAACACCGAATTACAGAAAATATCTACCTGGATGAGGACTAACAAACTTACTCTAAACATTGACAAAACCTACTTCATTCAGTTTGGTAACAGAGCTACAGATGTCCCTCTTAACATAATGATAAACGGATCACCTATCACAAAACTAACAGAGGGAAAATTCTTAGGAATCCACCTTGATAATAGACTCAAATTTCAAACATATATACAACAAATTTCCCCCCAAAATTTCCAAGACCGTAGGCATACTATCGAAGATACGGCACTATGTTCCACAATCAGCCCTCCTGGCTCTATATCACTCATTATTTACCCCTATCTCACATATGGAATTTGTGCATGGGGCTCAACAACAATTAACCATCTCAGACCACTAATTACCCAACAAAAGACTGCAGTCAAAATGATAACAAATTCCCACTACAGGCAGCACACTCCACCAATATTGAAAACTCTAAACCTACTCACCATACAAAACATCCATACTTATTACTGCACCTACTACATACATAGAACACTTAACTCTGATATAAACCCTCCCCTCAAACGTCTCCTTACCAACCTCAACAGAACACTTGACCATAACACAAGGCACAGATCACTCTTTGATGTTCCTCGTGTCCATCTCACGCTATGCAAAAACTCAATGCACATAAAAGGCCCTAAAATCTGGAATTCATTACCTGTGAATATAAAAGAAACACTGTCTGTTTATAAATTCAAGTCTCTTCTCAAAAATCACTTACTCACCCACAACTAAATAAATACTGAATAATTGTATCTCATAAATTGTATCTCATAAATGTTTCTCATTATTGTATCTCATAAATGTCTAACCTGTGACCCAGTCAAACTTTATTTTTTAATTACATTACCTAACTGAATACTCAATTCTACTGATTACACAGCAACACAGTAAATGACCATATGAACTGTCTTTGTAATACTCGTTTGTGCTAAATTGTTATCTGTTTACAATAATGTTTTTACCACTGACTATATCATTACTTAGTTAATCTTAAGTTAATTTTAAGCCTGCCCATAATGCTCTGCATACAAGAGGCTTTGGCATGTTGCACTGTAATAACTGTATTCCTTTGTACTTCACTGTATCATGTTCAAATAAATAAATAAATAACTGGTGCGAATATAATGCTACGGTGGCCTGTGGCTTGGTGACAAAAACTCTCGCTTCACACGTTGAGGGTGCTGCTTCAATTCTCAGCAAAAGGTGGAAACATTGGGTGTGTTTCCTTACACCGATTGTCATGTTTACCTATCAGTAAAAGTGGGTACCTGGGTGTTAGTCGACTGGCGTGGGTCACATCCTGGGTGTTAGTCGACTGGCGTGGGTCACATCCTGGGACAAAATTGACCTAATTTACCCGAAATACTCTTCATCTTGTTAACAAGCGACTTTCTATATAGTAGTGTCCTTGATGTCATCTAGACCTGTACACCTTGTACATTTACTTGTAGAAATAAAGACTTTATTATTATATTTGTTAGTAGATTTTCTATACACTTTGAAGAGAAGTTTGTCACTGTCAGACCTTCACAAGAGGATGTCGAGGAAAGAAAATTTGTCCTCCTGTGCAGGTTTCTCGACAGTGACAAACCTCTCTTGAAAATGTATAGAAAACTTACCAACAAGGACGATCTTAGACACTCATATTTACACCAAAACACCCGCAGTAAAAGAGGTATCCTCACTGGCTTCTTAACAGCTCTTCGTATCTCCAACTCTTGTTTCCTTGAAGAGGAATGTATCTATATACCACAAGCCTTTACACGTCTTCTGCTTCTATCTTTCGTCATCCGGAAGTGTAGACTCAAGGCAGAAGCTATCAACAAATCTACCATGGAACAGCCCTCTATGCAGTTCATAGTGCTCCCATATGGTGATGCTGCCACGAATACTCGCCAGGTACTTGATATGAGAAATATTCACGTCTTCTCCTTAAACTCATCATCTATCAAAGACCTCAAAACGAAACATAACCCCACACCTCTAACTTACACAGCAGGCGTCTACACCATCCCTTGTGGATACTGTCCCAAAAAATATGTAGGGAAAACAGGCAGATATCTTTCAGTTCACCTGAACAAACATCGAAATGCCAGCAATAGAGATGACTTAAGGTACGCCTGTGTCCTCCACAGGGACTCCATGGGACATTTGATGAATTGGGATGAGGTGCGACTCGTCCTCGCCAAGAAAGACCTTAGATTCTGACGATGTCTGAAAACCTCGCTAATCGCCGTCACCGATACCATAGAAAACAATACTAGAAACAACAAAATTTCTAAAACATTAATATATATTATACTCAACCAAGAAAAGCGCCACCTACCCAGCAACGCAGGAGTCACATGATTCCATCGTCTAATCATCCTCATTCCGATATGACATTCTTCAGGTTACCATGCGTCACTCACACCTCACTCTCCGCCTATATACGTCCTAGTGTTTGCTTACGTGTTTTTCTAAACCAACTTGTCGGTATCTATTACCAAGGTTTATGAAAGGATCCATGTCTTACATTGCTTACCTTACTACCCATCTCCCCACCCATGTCTTACAGTGCTCCGAATACTACCTATGTCTCCACCTATGTCTTACAGCATCTTCCACCTACTACACATGTGTCCGGATGCTGAGAAGAAAAATTAGGATTCTATGCTAAAGCTGAAAAGGCAACAAGGTAATACAAATTACAGTATATAAAAAAGATATATATGATGTGGATAAAAATTTTTCCAGAAACCACAGATATTAAGAGTTTGTATTAAACGTTCTAAAACAAAACAGTATTGTTTTAATACGTAAATTAAAAATATTATTATGCATATTTAGCAGATTATACAAAAAAAATGCAGATAAAAATTGTTATTTAACAAGCTATAAGAAAATTAAGAAACAATACAAGAAGCCATTTGTCATCCAAACAATCCTTGGAAGACGAAAAGAATTTTGTAAAAAAGTATGTGGACACGTTTTGTGGTCCAATGTTGAACTGTTATAAGTTCAATGAAGCTGGACGCTTTTCTTGACGAGGAAGGTGTCGCCTTAGATGTTCTGGTTTGTTGTGCTGGAACACTTGTACCTATAATAAACAAAGTACACATTGATTATAATTTTTCACGTAAAATGGTAAATGGACTCAAAAATGGTAAAATGCCTAGATATAACAAAAACATCCTAAACTGTAGTTTGTATTTGAGAACAAGTGACGCCAGTTTCTCAATCTTGCCTCTTTTGTAATTAATAGTAATTAGTAACAAGAGACTCTTGGTTCAATTAATTAGGCAACATATAGATGATGTTAGATAAGATAAGATAAGATAAAATTTCGTTCGGATTTTTAACCTCGGAGGGTTAGCCACCCAGGAAAGTCAGTGCGTCATCGAGGACTGTCTAACTTATTTCCATTGGGGTCCTTAATCTTGTCCCCCAGGATGCGACCCACACCAGTCGACTAACACCCAGGTACCTATTTGCTGCTAGGTGAACAGGACAATAGGTGTAAGGAAACGTGTCGAAATGTTTCCACCCGCCGGGAATCGAACCCGGGCCCTCCGTGTGTGAAGCGGGAGCTTTAGCTACCAGGCCACCGGTACTTGATGCAATGTACACAGACCACAGCTGATATCAGTGACATACTATTGCGACCCCTGAATGGGTCACAATGTATATAATGTATATTACCTATTCATATAATTTTATATTGCTTATATTTGCAATATTAGCTAAATCGTAAATATATTGATTTATATTATTATTTGACTTATTTATATTATTAGGTAGGATGTAACATTTATATATTATTCAGTGCTCATAGTTCGAGTGTTAAGTAGCTGACAGCATTGTCTAACTACTATAATTATCACTCCCCTCGTTTCTTTGCTGGCTTCTCTGTAGTTGCTGGGCAGCAGCAGTCCACGGAGAGCCACATGATCAGGGTGAGGTGATCAAACCTCACCTGGAGGAGAGTCTGCCTGACCTGCCCTCGCTCTCTCGTCTGGTTGACGTTGCTTCCTTCTCCAGCTCTCCCTTGTTGGCCCTAGTTGGAAGATCGTCTCTGTCGCTTTCTTGTTGGTTCTGTGTAACTCTGCTCACAGAACATGGCCTAGACTTAGTGATTTTCGACGTTGTACTGAGGTTGTGTGTCACATAGACACTCTGAGAAACTCAGGTCCTGAGCTGTAGCTTCCTGTCACAGTCGGGGATTTTCTTATGCTGAACTTAGATTCAGTAGTATGGGAGTTTTGTGACTTTTGTGGAGGATCTGCAGATGGTCCCTACTTAGTGTCATTATATTATCTCCTTGTTCCTGATTCTGTGTCCCTGTTGCTTGTTATATTGCTGTTCGGCTGAGCAGTCATTTTACTGTTCAAGCAAGTTGTCCTGATCGCCAGGTTGGTCACGAAGTTAGTTTATGTGAGGACTTTTAGTCAATCACTGGTTAAGTCTAGTCTAGTCAAGTGTTGAGACTTAGTGAACTACTTAGAGCACTAACACACATGCACAGAAACTTACTTGCATATATTTGTATTATGTTATTAAATACTAACAATGTACCAGACGGTACTTAAAAGCCATAAAGATGTGATATGTGTCTTCAGCACAATACTACTGTACACCAGAGAAGTGTAGCAACTTGTATCCTATATTATATTCAACTGATTAATTTACTTTGATATTATACACCTAGACAACTTCATTGTTATTAATAAATTTATTAAATTTTAATTTCTTTAGTTAGTAGACTACCAGTTGTAATCCTGAAGCACTATTGAATCTTACTAAATTCTAATGGATAATTGGACAAGGATACTGACTACTTGTTACGAAAACCCAGTAACAGGCTGGATGCTAGAAGGGCAGTCCTTTCTAGTATTCACTGGAGATCTCTATCATTATTAGATATCGTGTTATTTGTAACAAATGGGGGCCTGTCCGGGAGGCTTTTGATCCAAGGTGTTGGAGAAATTGTCCAGTTTGACACACTAGTAACTCTATGGTCAAACACTTTGAGTACTTTCCTAATTTGAAGACTTTGTCTTGTACAACATAATAAGTGGATGTATATACTTGACTGAATCTCTTGATCCAAGGAGATGGAAATACTGTTCATGAGCTCTAGCTCTAAGACAACCAACACTAAAATTCCTATTAGGATTAGAGTTTCCCATAATCACTCTCTCGTAGTACCTTTATTTTCGTGATGTATGTCAAAGTGAAACAGTTAATTGATACTCTGACTTTGAGTTGAGTACCTTAAAAACTTCAGACGTGTTGGCGAGTAGCCAAACATCTCTGTGTGACGTATAACAGGAATTACACTGCAGAAACTGTCAAAGCGTTAATTAAAGATATATTGTTTCCTGCTCATACAGAGATGTCTGATTATGATTCAGATACAGAGAGCATAGTGTCACTATTAAGAAGTATGACTATTGGGTGATGTAGAAGAGAGAGCAACTACAACTACGGCAGAAGTGTCTGAGCCTAGTGTAACTCCGTTCATGCTCACACCTTCCCGCCTGACTAACACAATAGTACAATGTGTAACTGGTAGTGTGACTCAGCCTCATACTAGTACCGTGTATGCTACACCTGTATCTACTTATCCTAGACCAGATCTATACTCTCTAGGGATGGCTGGACTAAGTGCCCGACCTACGGACCATCCAGAAAGACATGTTAATTTCCCCACTCCTCCGTTACCCACTGGTCCTATCTCTGAGGAACAATTTGAGAGGATGGAACACCTCATTGTGTTGCAGACTGCACAAATAGAGGCACAGGGGAAATTGAACGAAGAAGATTTCCAGAGAGAAAATGTTCGTCTCGGAAGACAACAGACTAATAGATCTGACAAAGTTGATAAACCTGTTAGTATAACACAGTACACATTTAATGTGCAGAAAGCTGCCTCAGTGGTTCCTAAGTTTTTTGAGAGTGACTTAGACACCTATTTTGATGTGTTTGAGAACCAGGCACGTGCTATGAACTGGCCACGTAAGCACTGGGCTACCTTGTTGCACACAACTTTGAGAGGAAGAGCTCCAACTTGTACTGCTGCTTTACCATTTGCCAAGTACATTAGTTATGACGCTGTCAAGGAAACTATTCTAGAGACATATAACTTGTTACCGGTAAGTTATCAACGTGCATTTCGTAAGCTACAACGACGACAAGATCAAACTTGTGTAGAGTTTGGTCATGAGAAAAAAGTTGCATTTGAGAGGCGGTGCAGAACTGCTAAGTACAATAATTATGACAGTTTGGTTCAATTGTTACTTCACGAAGAATTTTACAACTGTATGTCTGCTGATATACAAGAATATCTGATCGATCATACTACCTCGGATATTCTGGAAACTGCAGCATTAGCAGACAATTACAAGATTTCTCACAAACTTGTATGTACTAAAACACACAGAAACAAGGTACCTTAAAATTGTCCTCGAAGTTGGCAACCTAAATCAGCTGATCAGTGCCGGCCTGGTGTACCTGCTACTGTAACTTCTCGTACCTTTACCAAGAAAACTCACAATCCTGAATCTGTCTCTGAATCTCTGATACCGAGAAGAAGAAAGTTAATGTACCTATTGTAACAGAAAAGAACATGCTAGAGAGTATTGTTATAAGTTAGAAAGAGATACGAGAAGCAGTCGTGCGGCTGGCACCCCTACACAAGCTGTATCCTCTTCCATGCAGCAAAGGCACCAAAATTCTAGTAATACTTCTGATCCCACTGTTTTAGATATTACTCAGAATAGATGACTAGCATCAGAAAGTGTATCTGATGAAAAGATTCGTTCAGCGATGAGTCCTTACTTATCGAGAGGCAAAGTAGGACTTGGTGAATCACATCTAACTGAGATAATTACTTTCAGAGACACTGGCAGTTATCTCACATTATTGAGAGAAGCTGTACTGCCCATAACTGATGTACTGTTAGAAGCCCATGGTGGGGCTGTTATAAAAGTGCCTCTACACAAAGTTTACATTGAAACAACAGCTCAGGGCCTGAGTTTCTCAGAGTGTCTATGAGACACACAACCTCAGTACGTCAAAAATCACTAAATCTAGGCTATGTTCTGTGAACAGAGTTACACAGAACCAACAACAAGAAAGTGACAGAGACGATCTTCCAACAAGGGCCAACAAGGGAGAGCTGGAGAGGGACGTCTTGTTGGAAGCAATGTCAACCAGACAAGATAGCGAGGGCAGGCCAGGCAGACTCTCCTCCAGGTGAGGTTTGATCACCTCACCCTGATCATGTGACTCTCCGTGGACTGCTGCTGCCCAGCAACTACAGAGAAGCTGGCAGCAAAATGAGCGAAGCGATAATTACAGTAGTTAGACAATACTGTCAGCTATTTAACACTCACGAACTATGAGCACTGAATAATATATAAATGTTACATCCTACCTAATAATATAACTAAATCAAATATTAATGTAAAGTAATATATTTTTCGATTTAGCTAATATCGCAAATATAAGCAATATAAAATTATATAATACTTGACGTGCTGTTGGAGTGTGAGCAAAGTAACATTTATGAAGGGATTCAGGGAAACCGGCAGGCCGGACTTGAGTCCTGGAGATGGGAAGTACAGTGCCTGCACTCTGAAGGAGGGGTGTTAATGTTGCAGTTTAAAAACTGTAGTGTAAAGCACCCTTCTGGCAAGACAGTGATGGAGTGAATGATGGTGAAAGTTTTTCTTTTTCGGGCCACCCTGCCTTGGTGGCCACCCTGCCTTGGTGGCCACCCTGCCTTGGTGGGCCACCCTGCCTTGGTGGCCACCCTGCCTTGGTGGCCACCCTGCCTTGGTGGGCCACCCTGCCTTGGTGGCCACCCTGCCTTGGTGGCCACCCTGCCTTGGTGGCCACCCTGCCTTGGTGGGCCACCCTGCCTTGGTGGCCACCCTGCCTTGGTGGCCACCCTGCCTTGGTGGCCACCCTGCCTTGGTGGCCACCCTGCCTTGGTGGGCCACCCTGCCTTTGTGGGCCACCCTGCCTTGGTGGCCACCCTGCCTTGGTGGCCACCCTGCCTTGGTGGCCACCCTGCCTTGGTGGCCACCCTGCCTTGGTGGGCCACCCTGCCTTGGTGGCCACCCTGCCTTGGTGGCCACCCTGCCTTGGTGGCCACCCTGCCTTGGTGGCCACCCTGCCTTGGTGGGCCACCCTGCCTTGGTGGCCACCCTGCCTTGGTGGCCACCCTGCCTTGGTGGCCACCCTGCCTTGGTGGGCCACCCTGCCTTGGTGGCCACCCTGCCTTGGTGGCCACCCTGCCTTGGTGGCCACCCTGCCTTGGTGGCCACCCTGCCTTGGTGGGCCACCCTGCCTTGGTGGGCCACCCTGCCTTGGTGGCCACCCTGCCTTGGTGGCCACCCTGCCTTGGTGGCCACCCTGCCTTGGTGGGCCACCCTGCCTTGGTGGGAATCAGCCAGTGTGTTAATAAAAAAAAAATTATATGAACAGGTAATACACTTTGCTTGACTAAAAATAAGAAAGTTTCTCATAGTGAAAATATTAACAGAAAAACCAGATTATTATTATAATAAAAAAGAAGCGCTAAACCACAAGGGCCATACAGCTAGAAAAACCAGAGAGTTTCCTGATATTTACACTCACACCACCAGAGGAATAAACCAGAGAGTTTCCTGGTGTTTATACTCACACCACCAGAGGAATAAACCAGAGAGTTTCCTGGTGTTTATACTCACACCACCAGAGGAATAAACCAGAGAGTTTCCTGGTGTTTATATTCACACAACCAGAGGAATAAACCAGAGAGTTTCCTGGTGTTTACACTCACATCACCAGAGGAATAAACCAGAGAGTTTCCTGGTGTTTATATTCACATCACAAGAGGAATAAACCAGAGAGTTTCCTGGTGTTTATATTCACATCACAAGAGGAATAAACCAGAGAGTTTCCTGGTGTTTATATTCACACAACCAGAGGAATAAACCAGAGAGTTTCCTGGTGTTTATATTCACATCACAAGAGGAATAAACCAGAGAGTTTCCTGGTGTTTATATTCACATCACCAGAGGAATAAACCAGAGAGTTTCCTGGTGTTTATATTCACATCACAAGAGGAATAAACCAGAGAGTTTCCTGGTGTTTATATTCACATCACCAGAGGAATAAACCAGAGAGTTTCCTGGTGTTTATATTCACATCACAAGAGGAATAACCAGAGAGTTTCCTGGTGTTTTATTCACATCACCAGAGGAATAAACCAGAGAGTTTCCTGGTGTTTATATTCACACAACCAGAGGAATAAACCAGAGAGTTTCCTGGTGTTTATATTTCACACCACCAGAGGAATAAACCAGAGAGTTTCCTGGTGTTTATATTCACATCACCAGAGGAATAAACCAGAGAGTTTCCTGGTGTTTATATTCACACAACCAGAGGAATAAACCAGAGAGTTTCCTGGTGTTTATATTCACATCACAAGAGGAATAAACCAGAGAGTTTCCTGGTGTTTATATTCACATCACCAGAGGAATAAACCAGAGAGTTTCCTGGTGTTTATATTCACATCACAGAGGAATAAACCAGAGAGTTTCCTGGTGTTTATATTCACATCACCAGAGGAATAAACCAGAGAGTTTCCTGGTGTTTATATTCACATCACAAGAGGAATAAACCAGAGAGTTTCCTGGTGTTTATATTCACATCACCAGAGGAATAAACCAGAGAGTTTCCTGGTGTTTATATTCACACAACCAGAGGAATAAACCAGAGAGTTTCCTGGTGTTTATATTCACACCACCAGAGGAATAAACCAGAGAGTTTCCTGGTGTTTATATTCACATCACAAGAGGAATAAACCAGAGAGTTTCCTGGTGTTTACACTCACATCACCAGAGGAATAAACCAGAGAGTTTCCTGGTGTTTACACTCACACCACCAGAGGAATAAACCAGAGAGTTTCCTGGTGTTTATATTCACATCACAAGAGGAATAAACCAGAGAGTTTCCTGGTGTTTACACTCACATCACCAGAGGAATAAACCAGAGAGTTTCCTGGTGTTTATATTCACATCACAAGAGGAATAAACCAAAGAGGCGAGAGAAGCACCTAACTCGCGTTTCGCACAAGTGAGGTGATACATAACCCATGTATCACACAAGTGAGGCAATGCATATCCCATGTATCACACGAGTGAGGTGACGCATATCCCATGTATCACACAAGTGAAGTGACGCATATCCCATGTACACACAAGTGAAGTGAGCTACCATGTATCACACAGTGAGGTGACGCATATCCCATGTATCACACAAGTGAGGTGACGCATATCCCATGTATCACACAAGTGAGGTGACGCATATCCCATGTATCACACAAGTGAGGTGACGCATATCCCATGTATCACACAAGTGAGGTGATACATAACCCATGTATCATACAAGTGAGGTGATACATAACTTATGTATCATAAGAGTGAGGTGATACATAGCCAATGTATCACACAAGTGAGGTGATGCATAACCCATGTATCACACAAGTGAGGTGATACATAACCCATGTATCATACAAGTGAGGTGATCTCAGTAGTAGTAACCAGTTACCAGTAACCACGGTGCCAGTTGACTCACGACCAACCGTCTCTGCCTGAGTCACTGTCTATTCATATTGCGCTGACCTGACAGTATTCAAAGACCCTCTCACATATGGGTACGTGGGCGGCCGGTCAGCCAGTGTTACGAGAGGAGCTAGTGAGATAGGTACGGCTGTAAGGGCGCAACCCACATTATATGTAATTATACGTACTACCAGCCTACGTGAGTATTTCTTACCTAATCCACGTGTCGAACTCCCACATGATAGTGATACATAGCCAATGTATCACACAACGAGGAGATACATAACTCAGTTATTACGCAAGGGAGGTGATACATAATTCACTGATGTATTACCTCTTCAGCATGACACCCGAGTGATGCATCACCACACTAGTATACCTGATTTATGTATCACTACACTAGCATGATACCTGAGTTATGTATCACCACACTAGCATGATACCCGGGTTATGTATCACCACACTAGCATGACACCTGAGTGATGTATCACCACACTAGCATGATACCTGAGTTATGTATCACCACACTAGCATGACACCTGAGTTATGTATCACCACACTAGCATGACACCTGAGTTATGTATCACCACACTAGCATGATACCTGAGTTATGTATCACCACGCTAGCATGATACCTGAGTTATGTATCACCACACTAGCATGATACCTGAGTGATGTATCACCACGCTAGCATGACACCTGAGTTATGTATCACCACACTAGCATGATACCTCAGTGATGTATCACCATGCTAGCATGACACCTGAGTTATGTATCACCACACTAGCATGATACCTGAGTTATGTATCACCACACTAGCATGACACCTGAGTTATATATCACCGCACTAGCATGACACCTGAGTTATATATCACCGCACTAGCATGACACCTGAGTTATATATCACCACACTAGCATGACACCTGAGTTATGTATCACCGCACTAGCATGACACCTGAGTTATATATCACCACACTAGCATGACACCTGAGTTATGTATCACCGCACTAGCATGACACCTGAGTTATGTATCACCACACTAGCATGACACCTGAGTTATGTATCACCACACTAGGATGACACCTGAGTTATGTATCACCAATAAGATCAATATGAACATAAGCGGATAATCACAATAGCTCAGGTTATTCTGTTTAATTTTTCAATGTGGCAAGTTTAATATTTATACGCTGTCACGTGTGTGTGTGTGTGTGTGTGTGTGTGTGTGTGTGTGCAAGGAGGTGTGCAAGAGTGCTAGAAGAGCAGAAGGCATGCAAGAGTGCCAGAAGAGTTGGAGGTATACAAGAGTGCTAGAAGAGCAGAAGGTATACAAGAGTGCTAGAAGAGCTGGAGGTATACAAGAGTGCTAGAAGAGCTGGAGGTATACAAGAGTGCTAGAAGAGCAGAAGGCATGCAAGAGTGCCAGAAGAGTTGGAGGTATACAAGAGTGCTAGAAGAGCAGAAGGTATACAAGAGTGCTAGAAGAGCTGGAGGTATACAAGAGTGCTAGAAGAGCTGGAGGTATACAAGAGTGCTAGAAGAGCTGGAGGTATACAAGAGTGCCAGAAGAGCTGGAGGTATACAAGAGTGCTAGAAGAGCTGGAGGTATACAAGAGCGCTAGAAGAGCTGGAGGTATACAAGAGTGCTAGAAGAGGAGAAGGTATACAAGAGTGCCAGAAGAGCTGGAGGTATACAAGAGTGCTAGAAGATCATGAGGTATACAAGAGTGCTAGACATCAATACATCAGAGAGAGAGTTGAGATGTATATATTATAAAATGTCTCTGCAAACGTCTTCAGTTACATTAGAACTAAAATAACTTCAGGAATGTGATCAGTTATGGAAAATTGATCAACACTACCAGCAAGTTTATATGGACACGTGTGAAGAAGTTTAGATTTCTGCCTAAACTGCAATGCCTGTTTGTAGTTACGAACAGATTCACGGCCGAACGACTTACCATTTAATACATGGACTAGCACCTCGGCGACGGGAGCGCTGCTGGGGTTGCAGGAGTATGTGCCGGAGTCCTTGACGGACGCACCTCTTACAAAGAGGTTGGTGGTGGTTCTGGGACCCTTCTCTGTCAACACACTCACTCCTCCCCGCTCACTGTCGTACGTGATGACCTGCAACAACACAGTGTTACTCACTCTGTCAATACACTCGATCAACACACATGACTGACAAGGTGACACACAACATGGACAAGATAACACACATGACAACAAGATGACTCGTATTGAAATGAAAAAATAACACATACGAGGTACATGGCGACACATATGAGAGCTGACACATGAGAAAAGGGACAGATAAAAGAGGGACAGTCACAAATCCATGAGAGACAAGGCAATACAAACTCATGAGGTACAAGGTGACACATACTTGAAGGACAAAGTGACACATACATAAGGAAGAAACGGATGCATACATGAGGAACATTGGGACACATATTAGAGAGAAAACGTGACATATGCTTGACGGACTAGGTGACACCTGAGGGACAGTGACCCATGTAAAAGACAAATGGAGACATGTACATTAGAGAGAGTGACCTATATATACGGAACAAGGTGACAAATTTGAGGAATAATTTGGCACATTTAAGAGGGAAAAGATGACACATAAGGGAGAGGCATTATATACACCACATAAGTAGCATTATATACACCACATAAGTAGCATTATATACACCACATAAGTAGCATTATATACACCACATAAGTAGCATTATATACACCACATAAATAGCATTATATACACCACATAAGTAGCATTATATACACCACATAAGTAGCATTATATACACCACTTAAGTAGCATTATATACACCACATAAATAGCATTATATACACCACATTAGTAGCATTATAAACACCACATAAGTAGCATTATATGCACCACATAAGTAGCATTATATACACCACATAAGTAGCATTATATACACCACATAAGTAGTATTATATACACCACATAAGTAGCATTATGTACATCACATAAGTAGCATTATATACACCAACATAAGTAGCATTTATATCACCACATAAGTAGCATTATATACACCACATAAGTAGCATTATATGCACCACATAAGTAGCATTATGTACATCACATAAGTAGCATTATATACACCACATAAGTAGCATTATATACACCATATAAGTAGCATTATATACACCACATAAGTAGCATTATATACACCACATAAGTAGCATCATATACACCACATAAGTAGCATTATATACACCACATAAGTAGCATTATATACACCACATAAGTAGCATTATATACACCACATAAGTAGTATTATATACACCACATAAGTAGCATTATGTACACCACATAAGTAGCATTATATACACCACATAAGTAGCATTATATACACCACATAAGTAGTATTATATACACCACATAAGTAGCATTATATACACCACATAAGTAGCATTATATACACCACATAAGTAGCATTATATACACCACATAAGTAGTATTATATACACCACATAAGTAGCATTATAATACACCACATAAGTAGCATTATATACACCACATAAGTAGCATTATATACACCACATAAGTAGTATTATATACACCACATAAGTAGCATTATATACAACACATAAGTAGCATTACATACACCACATAAGTAGCATTATATACACCACATAAGTAGTATTATATACACCACATAAGTAGCATTATATACACCACATAAGTAGCATTATGTACACCACATAAGTAGCATTATATACACCACATAAGTAGCATTATATACACCACATAAGTAGTATTATATACACCACATAAGTAGCATTATATACACCACATAAGTAGCATTATATACACCACATAAGTAGCATTATATACACCACATAAGTAGTATTATATACACCACATAAGTAGCATTATATACACCACATAAGTAGCATTATATACACCACATAAGTAGCATTATATACACCACATAAGTAGCATTATATACACCACATAAGTAGCATTATATACACCACATAAGAAGCATTATGTACACCACATAAGTAGCATTATATACACCACATAAGTAGCATAACATACACCACATAAGTAGCATTATATACACCACATAAGTAGCATTATATACACCACATAAGTAGCATTATATACACCACATAAGTAGCATTACATACACCACATAAGTAGCATTATATACACCACATAAGTAGCATTATATACACCACATAAGTAGCATTATATACACCACATAAGTAGCATTATATACACCACATAAGTGCATTATATACACTACATAAGTAGCATTATATACACCACATAAGTAGCATTATATACACCACATAAGTAGCATTATATACACCACATAAGTAGCATTATATACACCACATAAGTAGCATTATATACACCACATAAGTAGCATTATATACACCACATAAGTAGCATTATATACACCACATAAGTAGCATTATATACACCACATAAGTAGTATTATATACACCACATAAGTAGCATTATATACACCACATACGTAGCATTATATACACCACATAAGTAGTATTATATACACCACATAAGTAGCATTATATACACTACATATGAAGTATTATATACACCACATAAGTAGCATTATATACACCACATAAGTAGTATTATATACACCACATAAGTAGTATTATATACACAACATAAGTGGCATTATATACACCACATAAGTAGCATTATATACACCACATAAGTAGCATTATATACACCACATAAGTAGCATTATATACACCACATAAGTAGCATTATATACGCCACATAAGTAGCATTATATACACCACATAAGTAGCATTATATACACCACATAAGTAGCATTATATACACCACATAAGTAGCATTATATACACCACATAAGTAGCATTATATACACCACATAAGTAGTATTATATACACCACATCAGTAGCATTATATACACCACATAAGTAGTATTATATACACCACATAAGTAGTATTATATACACCACATAAGTAGCATTATATACACCACATAAGTAGTATTATATACACCACATAAGTAGCATTATATACACCACATAAGTAGTATTATATACACCCACTAAGTAGCATTATATACACAACATAAGTAGTATTATATACACCACATAAGTAGTATTATATACACCACATAAGTAGCATTATATACACCACATAAGAAGTATTTTATACACAACACAAGTAGCATTATATACACCACATAAGTAGCATTATATACACCACATAAGTAGCATTATATACACAACATAAGTAGCATTATATACACCACATAAGTAGCATTATATACACCACATAAGTAGCATTATATACACCACATAAGTAGCATTATATACACCACATAAGTAGCATTATATACACCACATAAGTAGCATATTACAACCTAGGATTTCAAATGCCTGTTATCCCAGGTGTAATGGGAGCAAATAAACACAGTAGAAAAAGTTTAGACTTATATTATCCTTCACCAATTTATAACAGCAATATGTACACTATGTACAGAGATAAGTATAGTGCACTCCACGGTAAGCAAAGCAGAAAGAGAAGCCACAAGATAGCAGACCGTGCTTCAACCAGCTCTAGAATGGGAATGACCAGGGCAGACAGGAGAGCGGTATCCACATAACCTCTGCGATTGCCAATCCCACCTTCTTATTGGCTAGAACCTGGTCACTAGTTGAACGATGGGGCCCCATCATCAACTCTTAGCAACCTGGTTCGCTGGTTGGGGGAGATAACCTGTAAATGAGGGTGTTTCCATGCGCCGAATAAAGGTTACGTACTCTTTGCATGCCACACCCCCACCCCCGAGAAGGCTCAGGATTAGGCTGCACCTCCCAGTGGAACCGTGCCGCCATGGCACAAAATATGGGACCGCCTATCCTCTCCACCATCCAACTCTTAGATAGAGCCAGCTTTCCTAGTGACCAAAGCCCAAAACCCTAAATAGGTGAGACAGCATCAGATAGGCCAACATAGGCCAAGATAAAGCGGGCGGTGCCCCTAT